ATATATATATTTGTGTGTGTTGCTATGGTTACATCTAACTTCTGGTATAGTTTAAAATATAGCTAGTGGAGTATAATGCCAACTATCGCTCATCAAAGTAGACAAATATTTTAAAGTTTTGGTATAAGCTCATGAGGATTGGAGTATAGGTAATCGCATACATGTGAAAGTATACATGTATATTAGGATAACTTCTACTAGCAAGTAATTGGGCAGCATATACTGAATTCCATGTGCCCATAATTATAATTCATCTGGAGCTAAGATAAAGTTCACCACAGAGCTGCTCTGTCAAAAAGCAGGAAAGAATTAGATTTCTCTGTGCTTAAGTTTTCTAAAAAACTGCATTTTTATCAACTGCATAAGCTTGTTGATGATCAATTGAAAACACAGAAATTAATTAAAATGGCTTCTGGCATACTAGAAATATATAACAACAAAAGAAGTTCATGAAAATAACAATGCTTACATGCATGTGTATACATATATATATTTTTTGGAATGACTGCTATTACATACATAAACAGAAAGATGTTAGTAACACAAATGGCCAAAATTCAAATAAAAAAAATTCATTTATAAAATGAAACGAAGGATTTTTCTAATATAAATTAAAAATGCCTTCTTTCCGTAATAGGGCATTATTAAGTCTCCAGTAAAATAATGAACCATTACATTTGACACTGGAAAAATATGTGGTTCTTATATTAAATACTAGCTAAAAATAAGACACAAAAGGAAAGGAAATGCAGACATAAATGACTCAAAGCTTCATTCTTTTCAAACATAAGTAATTATCTTTACTTGTTTCAAGGGATCTTTACTTGATTTATCTATAGAAACAAAAGAAGATTTTCATTGTATTTCTATGTAACAACAGTGACATCCAGAGGCGAAAATAACAGCAACTGTACACGGCAAGCTTGACAAAGTTTGGATATGATTTAGATTACATGTACAGGATGGACAAATATAAACACTTAGCTTTAACATGTAATTCCAAAATGCATTCAAATAAATTTACATGTCTGCTTATATATACATTTGAGCATAGTTGAATATAATTCCATTTTGTGAAATTTAATTTTGATGTTATATGTCCTAGGTTGCTCCTAAAATAAATGTAACAATAATTAAACAGTGAAAGACATAAACAAAGCTATACTCTATCAAAACTAACTTAAAATCTTACCTTCTATCAAAATTAGACAGTCACTTGAAAGTGGAAGAATACCATTATTTTTCACAAAATGAATAGCTACTTGTCGTTCTCCTTGATCTTCAGTAGTCCACATCTTTGAATCATATAATGATGTATTTTGTAGTCTAATATTTGGGGGTTTTGTTGCACCCTCTTGCAAAATTATATCCAAATCACCCTCATGTGGAACTTCTTGCCTACAATCAGTGACAATGAAATAGCACAGAGCAATCAACAGAAGCTTGGAATTTCCAACTTAACAAATTTTCTAATTTTAAAAACTCATTTATGTGCTGATAGGCTAGGTAGTTTAAAAAACGTGGAAATAACTCATTTTAAGATTCAATGATTCACATTGAATAGAAAGATGATTGATGGTATTTTATGGCTAGTATAACCATATTATATATGGATATGCATTAAATACCAGCTACTTCCTTGCCTAGTTTTGTGATACCAGTGGAACTGATAATTATTTCAAGCACCCATTTGCTCTTCTCTCTAATGAATGCAGTCCTGTCTTCACAGATAAATATCCTACTACCACATGAATAATATCAATGTCGTAAGATAGCTATTTCACAAACCAATATTCCTTTCATTTCCTTTTAATCTAGAACAATAACCTTTAAAAGCCATGTGGAAAAGTATGATTCAAAAGAAAGGACCTAATTTAGAATCAAAAGGTCTATGTCTTTGGCCTGGTTTTGACACCAACTAGCTGTGTAAGATTAAATGATATTTCTTATACTTTCTGAGATGATTTTCTTCTTTGTTTTAAGAATAATCATATGATATAGTTTTAACAAAGTTACATGATTTTAACATAATTTAACAAACTAAAATTTGATATCACCTTAAGAATTAGGTAAAGTCAATTATATTTTAATTTCATCTGCCATATATATTCAAACTTAAGTGGGTAATACAGTCCCCCTAATATATTTAAGGAGAAATGATGATATTTAGATTGTGGAGGGGAAAACATGTGCACATTATTCATGCACAGAAGTGTACCAGCAATTTAAATATATACAAAGATAATGGACATGCATGCATTTACACATCATTGCTACTACAGTGCATTTATGGTACCCAATGCACAGCATGATGTAATCAATTACCTGCATCACAAAACATCATTTTATATATTTAGAAGGAAGACAAACAAATTGCATTAAAAAGAAGTAAAAGTAAATTTCCAGTATGTCTTGAGCAAATTAAGTAGTACATACTTGTTCTACTGTCAAATTCATTTGTAGTTTTAGGCAATACTTGATGTTTGGAATAAAGACTGAGACACAAAAATTATAATTTTCTAATAAAAACTTAAACTATATTTACTTTAGTGTAGTTAGGACAAATATATTTCCAATAAGGCTTCTTGTATCAGCACAAGTTTCAACTAATGAGGTTTGTTATCTATATAAGAATTTTATTTAATCATGGTTTACTTTAGAGATGTTTGTAACAAATGAGAGTTTCCACAAATATTTTTGTATTTTATTATTTGTTTGCATTAACCAGAGCTACTAAACTGAATTTTGATCTGAAAATAGTGTTTACTCTCATTTAAAAGAAAAAATCAAAAGGTTACTTCTTTCTAAGAATTTAATATTTCCCTTAAAAAATTATGGTGGAGAAATACAAGTGTCGTGGTGGTGAGTACAGTGTGGTGACATACATCTGAAGAGATAATCATCCTGCTCCTCTACATCAAACATACTACTAGAAACCAGGGTTAGTTCAAAAATAATTCTTTCAAAATGTAATATATAAAATCATAATCTACTCATTGTCAGGACTTACAATGTCTATGAGAATGTATAATATACACATATGTTATACAGTAAAAACTTCTGCTTTATTGTGAAAAATACTCACAGTGAATGACACTTAGGACAATAAAGTTTAACCGATTGAAAGAGCCGTCTGGGCCGGTATGACCTGAGTTTTGCTCGGATGCGATATTGTTGTGGAGCTTTCTGTTTCAAAATAGCACATAGTGGGGTTTTCTCCAAAAACTGATGATCTGTAAGAACTATAAAGAATGTTTAGATTAAATAAAAATAATCTAGAAGAATCATAAGTACATTCATGATAAAAATCCTTCTGGACCAAATGTGTACAATCACATCTAAGTAATGCTGTGTTAGTTGTCAACTTTGAGGGCTATTTCCTAAGGTTCACAAGCACAGTGTCAGATACAGTTAGGAAGAACTCAAGGAACACAAAAATAAATATGGATATATTTTAGCCTCATGGATATCTGCTCTCACCATTAGAAATGAATAAATGAGCTGGTGAGTTCAAGTACAGGCTTTGTGATGTGAACTAATATGTTTGTATTTTCAAACTTCAAAAATGACAGGTAGTCTTACTTGTTGCTGATAATTGTTGACATCTTTCAACCTCATATAGTGATACAGATCCAGTGCCTGTAGGAAGAGGAACAAAAATATTATATAGCTTTAAAAATCCATTAAAAAATCCACATGACACTGAAAATGATGAAATATTTCTGAGAAACTGAAGAAAATTTAAACAAAGATTTAACCCATTGCCATGTCATTGGGTTAATATGATCAGTATTGCTAGGATATCAATTTGCTCTATCTTGATCTATAGACTCAATATAATCCTAATCAAAATTTTATAAGCTTAATATAGAAACAGATAAGCAGACTCTATCACTTGAGGGGAAATGCAAAAGTTCTAGAATATCAAATATAATCTTGAGAAAGAAAAAGATGTAGGGACTTATGTTAATAACATTAAGACTCCAGACATGATGGTACTAGCATAAAGAAGGACAAACAAATCGATGTAATTAAATAGAAAGCCTAGGAAAAAAATCATTTACATTTGATTTTTGATAAAGGCAATAAAGGAATCCTAAGGGAAAACAAAATTCTTTCAACAAACGGTTGAAAGTATGAGGGGGAAAAAAAGCCTACTTTAGAGCATACAATTAAAGTTCTTTTAGATCATACTATTAAAATTCTTTTCTGGATGAAAAGCCCAGAAATAAATCCACATTTGATTTTGACAAAGAGGCAAACTATTGATATATATACCACAATGTGGATGAATCTCAAAAACATATATATACTAGTATATATTAATCAATTTATTTGATATTCTAGGTAGGCACAATTAATCTTTTGTGATAATGTTAGTTATCTAAAATTGAGGGTACATGTATTCAGATAAAGCTCATGGAACAGTATACTTAAGTATATTTCATTGTATACAATTTTACCTAAAAAAAGTTATCATAAATATTGAACTCTAGTTAACAATATTCATTCTGTAGTATTTAGGAGGTATAGTAATGTCTGCAATTTTTATTTTGAAATGCATCAACAAATAAGATGGATTGATAAATGAAAGATAAAGTAGGTAGATCTATGACAGAGGAAGTAAAATGTTAATTGAGGATCTAGATGGTGGGTATGTGACTTTTGACTGCACAGATGCGTTAGCTTTTCTGGATGCTTCAAAATTTTAATTATAATGAAAAAATACAATATGACAGAAAGGAGAGGTAGCTAAAAATAATGACCTCAATAAATTAAAAATGGTGTTTTAACAAAAAAGCAAAAGTAGTAAATACAGCTGCTTAACAATACTTTCTAAAACAAAGAATTTAAGATTTAAATAAGCATTAATTCTGCAATTACTTTAGTTAATATTCTACTACATATAGTAGTGTTTATGTTTCAGTAATTTATGTAGTACCCTATATAAACATGTCCTTCTTCCTCAACATCATTAACAAATGACCTAAGAATCAAGGGCAAGAGAAATGACAAGTAAAGTAGTTGTTTGAGAAAGTAGTAGATTTTTACTGACTATATGTTTTCACACACACACACACAAATACATGGTAATTCTTACACACACACACTCATACACAGATACATGGTAATTCTTACCACCCCAATTTGAAAATGTAATTACACAATTAAAGGACTACTGTTTACTATTGCATAGGACACAAGATGTAGGATGCTACTTTACAATGAATATGGAGTTAACAAAAACAAGGAAGAAAGCAAAAAAGATTTAATGTTGATAAAGCCACTTAACAAAATTAAACTGTCAATGTTAAAATTGACCTTACTTGAAACAGTTGGAAAGCTGTCCTCAAGTTCTGTTTGACAGATACCCTCTGAGCACTGAGCGACTGTTAAATCTGCAGACTGTAAAACCCTATAATTGAAAGAATATAATTTCAAATTTCATAAAACAAAGTCTCTCTCTCTATAAAAACCAACTCACTAAAATTGAGGGGGAGGTGTATGTGTGTGTGTGTGTGTGTATCCAAGACACTTTTATTACCTATTTATTACCTATTTATCAGACGCAGTCCCTGCTACCTAATTTTTCAAGGTAGGATTAAGTATTTTCAGAATCCTAGATGTGTATCAAGTTTTCCAAACTAACTAAGCACCAGTTTCCACTGTTGCTTTTTTTTGGAGAATGTGGCAAATGGTAGAAGAGAATAAGGTCAAAGAGTAGACATAAATGCTTCAGAAAACTTAGACTATAATCCTAACTGTGCTCCTATTTAGCTAGTTGAACCTACAATAAATTGAACTGTTTCATTTTGTTCATTTCAAAATGGATAATGACAAAGACATGAAGATTAACTATAAGGAATCTATCAGATACCTCTTCCCTACTGAAGAAAAAATGTAATCTTATAAATTAGCTTAATGTTTATATACAATTTCAAAATACATATATAACATACTTACTTCTTGAGCTGATCCACATCAGAGTTACTTTCCGGCAAGACTCTGATTCCCCGACCATAACTGGTGCCACCATGGAGATGAAACTCTAGAGCTAACAATGTTGCCTGGTTCTCTGAATTCACTGACTGAAGTTTGGTATGGAGGCTATAAATTCTAATAAAGCTTCCAACCTAAAAACAGATTATTTATTATTTAGAAAATGGTGAAAGATCAGATAATACTTGATAGTCAAAATAGTCAACAACCAACTATGGGCACAAAACAACTAGTCAGAACTAACCAGAAAGGATACTGGTACTTTATACAGTATTTTATTAGCTTTAAGTACATAGTAACACAACCAAAATATGTGTGTGGACATACATATATGTGTACGCATAAATATGCTTACATGTATATTTTCAGATATAAGCCTTATTCTCATTTCAGAGATACTATAGTGTGAAAAAAGATTGAGTCTCAGATCAGACAATAAAAAAATATACTCTTGAAGAACTCATTACCTAAGGAAAATTAAAACTATCTGATTCAGAAATCAATTTGGGGGCCTCCCTGGTAGCTCGGGGGTTAAAGACACAGTGCTATCCAGCTATTACTAGCCACTGTGGCATGAGTTCAATCCCTGGCCAGGGAGCTGCCCATATGATGCGGGGCAGACTTCTCCTGTCTCGCCCGCTGTTCCCCTCAGCAGTGTATTTCAGTAGATGTTCCTGTTCTGCTCCCTACTCTGTTCTGGTGAATCCTCTCATCCCCATACCTCTGCTCTACATCCCAGTTTTTGTACGCATAAATAAATAAATCTTTAAAAAAAAAAGAAATAAATTTGCTTAAGGTTCTTGAAAGTAAATTACTTACCATAAATAATTTAACTTAAGATTTAACTAAGTACAATCTCCACTCTCAGTATGAATATACTAGAAAATTTTTAAACATGCTATTATATCAAACTAATAAATATCTTCCCTCCTATGAATTCTACTGCAGAAAATTTTTGTAATAAGCAATTTATATCATTATATCATAATATGAAATATATTCTGAGTTTAAGATTAAAGCTATTACTGTTTTAAAATAATGCTCTATAGCTAATTGATATTTTTTATTGTTCAAGATTTAAATGAGATGAATATAGAATATCAGTGAAAACTGACATCTACTCAAAGAAAAAGCTACATAATTTAACTCATACTTATTTTTATGAAAAAAATTATATCCAAAAGCCCAATTCTTGACTGCTGATAAACTGTGGGATTACTAAACTTTTTCCCCTTCAAGATCAGTATTGAGGAACAGTGAGATTCTGTGTAGCAATTAGTTATAGAAAGGGAAATATTACAAAAAAGAGGCATTAAGGCAACTTCCTACCTCTGATTATTGCTGTTGAAGTCAATTGTTTCTCCTCCCCTCTGGCTTTGATGGAGGGGAAGAAACACATGTGGCGGAGGAAGAGCGGGCTAATAGGCACACTTCCAGATGCTATTCCTTTATTTCTGAGGGTCTTTTCCCTAACCAGTTAGGGTTTTCTGAGGAGGTAAAACATCTAGTCGCTTCTGACTTTAAATACTACATGCTGGCAGAGGAGTTAGGATTAACAGAGAGAACACACACACACACACACACACACACACAACAATAAAAAAAAGTTTTTCTGTCAAGTCTCCAAAGTAAGATACTAGAAGAAAATATAAGTCTATTTCTTTTATTTAAGAAAAAAAAATCATTCTTTTTGAACATGTATTAATGTGTTTTTTTTTTTTTTAATAAACAGAATACACTAGTATAGTACATCTAAGTTCTAATAAATACTTAAGGGTCAAACAAGAAGATATGACATGCATAAATGAAGAGCTTAAACATTTTAAGTTTCCTCCCAAGTTAATCAAGCTTTAAAGTCAATGTAATATCAATCAAAACTCTTAGTGTCTCTCATTGAACTTGAAAAGCTGATTTGAATATATAAAGTGAATAATCGATTTTGTAGGCTAAATTATGGGCCCAGGAGCTTCCTATATGGCATATCTCTTAAAGATAAAACTGTTTGCTGTCAAAGCAAACACATGTCTAACACAGATACATTTTATAAAATATTTTCAAAGGAAAATAAAAAACATAAAAAATATTATATACACCTTATGCAGTTTTTGGATAAAAGTGCACAAAATGAGAGCATAGTAAGCATGGACACATATATATTTACATGTTAGGATAAACAGAAAGAGAATACTGGGAAGTGGAAAAATGAAAATAAGGAGAAGAACAAAACGTCCAATGTGTAGAGTTTTATTTCTTAAAAATTAAAAGTGCCTGAAAAAAGCATGACAAACATTTATAAATGTTTAAATTGTTAAATTTGGATGGTAGGCTAAGTGTTTACTATCTTCTCGACAATTGCATTTTCATAATAAAGCAAAATGTAAAGACCAAGAGAGAACTGGATAGGTTACTGAGATGACAAGCTGTTATTTCTAGAAATTCCTTCTGGAGGCAGCATTGTATTTTTTTTTAAGCTTCTGAAATATGCTATGAAATGTGCCAGATGCTCTGTTATTATAGACAAATACTGCTTAGTCTTGCTGCAAAGTGATAAGATGCCAAAAATAGAAGTGAGTCATAACCAACAATAAACAAATACATACTTAAAAAAAACTGTAATAACAGCCTATTTTTAACAGAGAAACATAAAAAAAAATAAAAAATGGCCACAAAGAAATCATTATCTCTTTAGAAATCATTTAAATATGCTTTAAAAACTGTCAAGAACATTCCTGTAGGTTTAATATCATTAGTGACCTATTATGTCAGAAAAAGCAATGACAGTTCCTAGGTCACTGAAGGTCAAAATCTAACTATCACTATATATACATTTTGTAATTATTTAAAATCTTTTTTAAAAGCCTGGCAATTGAAAATATATTGCTTCAATCTTAGCACAAGAGATTTGGAAAATTAGTTTGTGTTTGTATAAAATATTTAGGGAATAAGATATACTTAAGAGTCAAGGTTTAAGAAAAATGTTGAGGGTAACTTGGGCTGTAAGATGTAATGTACACAGAAGTCAATTTATTGCCTATAATTGTCTTAAGTATCCTTTGTTAAGAAAAATACCAGATTTATTCCTGTTCTTAATACACTGAAAATACATTTTTTCCATGTCTTTCAGTATACAAATGCAATTTAAGTAACTGTTTCTAAGTGGTGGGGGTAATTTATTTGTATCAGTGTCATCCGACCCTGGGTGTTTATTAAAATGTAATGGTGCAGAGCTTGTCACAGAACAAATGTGACAATTTATCAATGTACAAATTGTCAATGTACTTTAGATAAAACTCTACATTCACCTTATTTATTATTCACTAAGAAAATAATTTTCATTTTTCCATTGTATTACTGATACGCCATGGTATCATTAGATAAAATTAAGTGTCCTATATTTTCTTAATTATTTGTGCTCATAGCACCCTCTAGTGGATGAGCTAAAGATAACAAAATGGGAGAAAAATGGGGGAAAAACCCTGAAAAAATTCACAGCTCTCAGTGATTCATTCATTCATTCACCAGCAGATCTTATTTACTATGGCTTTATACTATGGAAAGTACATTAGGTGCTGTGCGGAAAAAAAAAAAACAAAGAATTCAAGAAAAAAGCGGGCAACAAAAAGGTGAAGAAGCAGCATAGGGAAAAAGAAAGGATTTAAATGATGAATGTATATTGATTTATTCATATAGAACTGGGGTACAAGCCAGAGGTTCAGGGGCGCTGAGAGGCTTCACCAGAGACAGAGTGGGGAGCAGAACAGGCAGATGGTACACAGCTGAGGGGAGCAGCGGGAGGGTCAGGAGAGTTCTGCCGCGCCATGTGGCTCACCTCCGCGGCAGGCAGGGATAGAACTCGCACTAAAGCGGCTGCGGCTAGCTTGCAGTGCTGCACCCTAACCCGTTGCGCCACTACGGTGGGCCACACTTGATCTTAAACTTGATTTGGGTGGGCTTATTTTTAACCCAGTGTGCCAGCAGAACACAGCTCCTTAAGGAACATTTAATTATAAAGGAAAATTGGGCACTAAAACATAGCTGCTCTCTTCCTGTAAGCAGACTATGTAACTCTATGAAGACAGGGTGGCAGCTACCTACAAGAAAATCATTTATAGCATGTAATTGGACTGACTCTGGAAACAGACACTGTACATTCAAATACTGGCGTCACCCAAGCAGCTGTGGAATCTTGGCCTTAACTCCTAATGTCTCAGTTTTCTTTTTTGTAAAATGGGGATGAACACAGTACTTACTGCATACAATAGTCCTAAGTGTATCTGAAGTGCTTAACAAATTCTACTGCTGTTATCTTTTATCTTGTAGATAAAAGATATAATAAATTACCTTTTATCTTCGCAAATAAAAGATATAAGAAATGAAAAAAAAATCCCTTAAAATGTCCCCAATATTCAAGAAATGCCATATAGGAATGTTATACATAGGAATGGATATAGTTTTACTTGAAAAACTTCATCTCAAAAGCAGTGAGCAAATTCTAATGCATTGTACAGTATAAATAGATGTTAAATTTATGTATATATTAGAGGTGGCTTAACAATTTCTTAACAATTAACTCTGATGAGTACAAAGCTGCAAGTTAGATTTTATTAAGCTGATTTAACAAAGCTAACTTTTATTTTTATGTTGAAAAACTGGGGTGTAGGCCAGAGGTGTAGGGGGTTAGAGGATTCACCAGAGACAGAGTGGGGAGCAGAACAGGCAGATGTACTGAAATACACTGCTGAGAGGAGCAGCAGGCTGCACAGGAGAGGTCTGCTGTGCCATGTGGGTCACCTCCCTGGCTGGGAATCAAACTCAGGTTGCAGCAGTTATAGTGCTGAGACCTAACACCCAGGCCACTGGTGAGGCCCCAAAGTTAACTTTTAAACTTACAAATATTTTTATATCCTTTAAAGCAGTGTTACCTTGCACAATAAAATTTTACTTTACTATTTTCATAGTGTAGTTTTAAGATCTGTAAGAAAGATTTTTAATTTTAAAAAGCTGTTCAAGTTTTTCTAATTTATCTTCTAATAATTTATTTTAAACACACATTTTATAAATTAAGAAATCAGATAAATTTGGAGCTGATTTCTAATCTTAAACGTCATCTAGAAATGTGGTTCTCCCCGAAATGTATACAAATGAGCCCAAGTTTACTGCGCAACATTACCTTTAGAGATTTTGCCACTTGAACATGGTTATCATAGACTACAATGTCTACGGTCAGATTCTGTAGTCGATGAAGATGGTTTAAATCAGCATCAAGAGTAAAATCTTGTATTAACACTCTCCAAGATGGGAATGGTGTCCTCGTGCCATCCCATACCTGCCACAGAAGGTAGAGAAAAGTTTAATAAGGATCTTTTCATAAAAATGTAGAGCCCAGGCCCTCCCTGGTGGCGCAGCGGGTTGGGGCGCAGCACTGAGAATCTAAAGCCGCTTCCGCACAAGTTCGATCCCCGCCTGCCCCGGAGGTGACCACATGGCGTGGCAGACCTCTCCTGACCCGCCCGCTGCTCCCCTCAGCAGTGTACTTCGTAGATCTGCCTGTTCTGTTCCCAGCTCTGTCTCTGGTGAAGCCTCTCGCTGCCCCTAAGCCTCTGGCCTGTACCCCAGTTCTGTATACACAAATAAATAAATCTTTAAAAAAAAAAAAATGTAGAGCCCAATGAGTTACATTTGCTCTTACTGTAAATAAATACAGTTAAATATATTCCCAAATATATGCTTAACTTTAAATATGATGTGGTCCTTTTTGATTATAAAGGGCAATGGCATACATGGAAGTAATGCAAATAAAGGTAAAGAAAACAATTCACACAGCTATGAACTTGGGGAAAAATCAACATAATATTTATCTTATTTCTTCTATGCATTTATGTATTTATTTTCCTTTTAACAAATTGGCACTATGTTTTGTGTTTTTTCATTTTTAGCTTATTGTTAAACACTTTATCAATTTATTCTTCTAAAATGTAATAATTTTCAAATGTTTTATATTATTTTGTGATATGACAAACACATTTATTTGGGTTGTTTTCAAAATGTTAGTATTCTTAAAAAAATAGTAATTACTTTGCTATAATGAAAGGATTCAGGGTATGTATCCTGAATCCAGGATTTGGCATATTGACTATTTTGAATTAAAATCACTTAAGACACAATTAGTGCAAGAAAGGCATTCTGATTCTTCTTTGAAAACAGGAGTCAAATTCCCATGTGAAGAACTACCTTCCATTCAAGAGGAGGGCAGAGGAATCCTTATCTCAGAGATAGGAACTAGGGCCCTGAAGCTGTGGAAACAAATGTTTTTATTTCTTTACTAATCTAGATGCTTCAATTGAAATTCTTATTTATTTATTTATTTAGTATATAAGGTATAACTGTTGGCTGTATGGTGCGGCCACTTCAGATTTTCTGCATTCCAAATCATTGAAAACCCCACTTACAACACAATCCAAATCCCACTCACCCCATATGTAGCAATTCATTTTGTTTTTCTCCTGTCACTCTATTTTATGTCAATTTAATGATCTTTAAACAAGCTAAAGAACCTACATGGTATCTCCTTTCATTTTTTAAGTATACATTCCTAGCTTTTGTGAATTTACTGAAATCTTTGTTCTTATTTGAAAGAAGCCATTAAAAGAATACTGTGCTTACGTTATATGTTATAAATATACATGAATGAAAAGCCCGGGTGCTGGTGGGAAAAAAAAAAAAAGCTAGGCTGGATGTTAGGTAAACTACCCTGAGGTAAGGACGGAAACATGGGCACAGGATGAGTTCTCTATCATCCCTAAAACTGAGCTGATCTACACTGCATAGGTTTTAAGGGATTAGCAGGGTTATACTATGTGATAAAAAGGGATGGCAAAAGACATTTGGTTTGAGATGGGAATGTCTTTCTTTGCATGTGTGAAATAAGTCTGGCTGACAAGAACGAAACAGGTTATTTGAATAGAAAACATTACATTTCTGTACAGAGGGTGTCTGCTAGTGTCAGATAAGAAAGGAAGTATTAAATAATGTTGGTGATACCTGTAGTTTCAAATAAATAACCATGAGTTTGTGTCATGCACTCTGTTTCCTAAATTACTCAAAGAACCAGGGCATTAGGAGTAGAAATATTTGTTCTTTCATTTTCTGTACATTGCCTTTGTTTGTTTACAGTCCAGTGTAGAAGTCTTTTGGGAGCAGCTGAAAGAACAGAGTATTGCTATATTGATTTTAATTGCCAAAAAGTCATATTTTTTAAGTCTGGACTTTTGAAATTTTTTAAACAAATCTCAAATCTGTTACATACACATGAAATCATCCCCCCCAAATATATATTAATTTCTAATTTTCTTTACCAAGTTGAGATGGCCAAGTAATTTTCTTTATTTATAGATAAAACTGGAACTCTGTGCTTGTTTTGTGAATTAGTGATCTCCTTTTGATCTAATTCAGTTTGAGTAAATTTTGGTTGATAACACAATAACTTAAAAAATATAAATTATATTTAAATTTAAAAGTTGTCAATTTAAACCTTCAACTATCATGCCCCATTTCTCAGCATGGAATTTGAATATAACACTTTCTGATGTTTAAAATCATTCACATATGTAAATATATCCCTTGTATTATTCCTTATTTTGAAAATTCTGTCTTTTAAAAATCAGGAAGAAGTAACTTTGTTTTTAAGCTCTTGAACTTATCAACATTATCTTTTTTCTAATTTTAAAAAACATCACAACTGTACAATTTCTATATACATGCTTATGAGTTGTTCAAAGGGGCACAATCTTTATGGAGGCCCTCCATTTATTTTAGATTGCTGGTATCTTCATTTGGACTTTTAGCCTCCAGAACTAAAAGAATACATTTGTACTACCTTAAGCCACTGGGCTATCATAATTTGTTGTGACTGCCTTAAGAAACCAACACAAGGAAACTTCTAGGAGGTGATGTAGAAAAATCTCTATGGTAAGAATTAACTTAAAAAAGCAAATTTAATATAAGTGAGTATAGCATGCTCTCATGTATATGTATACACACAGAAAAGAATATGTATATGAGTTAAAATTTTTCTGAAAAATTGTTCAGAGAAACTTTTTTTAAAGCTACCATGTTTGGGGAGGGCGATGGTGAGAAGGTGGAGAAGACGAAGACAGCCAAAGAAAAACTTTTCATTACATATAATTTAAAAATATCTTTTAAAACCTGGACAACATTGACAGTACCTACCTAAAAATTAAATGCCTTATTAAATCACTACTTCCCACTTTATACAGTTCTGTTATATTTTAAAGTTCTTGAGTTGAAAGCTTATTCTAATATGCTATGCTTTTCTCCTCCTTTTTTTTGTTCCCGAAGACATTTAGACCTATGAATGTTGTCTTTGATTAGGTATCTGACTACAGTCTTTATTCTTATGAACAGTGCATTCTTAATAACCTGTAATTATAATTAAATTCTCTTGGAAACAACAGTATATGGGAGAGGGAAATTTTCTTTCTGACAGTAACCAAGTATTTAGTTTTGACTTATAAAAAATGTTTGAATAGTACTTTTAATATGAGTTCTCGGGGCTACTCTATTTTCTTTTTTTCCTTCAAGCCACATTACAGATTAGATATATAAATTCTTTACCTCTCTGACTACCAAAGATTCTAGCTCTTTACAAAAACACAAGCAAACAAACAAAAAAGCTCAAAAGACGAGGCTGTGGATATTTAAGAGTTTGTGATTCAGAAAAGTAAATTTCATAAACAAAGAAAAATGTGGCTTGCTAGTTAGTCTACAGATACTTTAAATTGTGATGTCAATGCCATTGGTGTATCATGTTTACTAAGTAAAGACGAAAGTGTCATAGTTGCTAACAAAAGGATAATGCTGTCATTACATCCACATGATATGACATAAAAACCACTAGTATATAACACAGCACCAGCATCATATCCATATTGAGATAGATGACAATGATGCTAACAATGCTATATTCCATGCTGGACAGACTTCATTTGGCATGTGGCGCCTCTGTTTTCAAAATATAAAGTAAAAAAATTATTGGCCCTCCCTGGTGGTGCAGCGGGTTAAAGCACAGCACTGAAAAGCCAAAGCCATTTCCGCATGAGCTCGATTCCCGCCTGCCCCGGAGGTGACCACATGGCGTGGCAGACCTCTCCTGACCCGCCCGCTGCTCCCCTCAGCAGTGTACTTCGTCGATCTGCCTGTTCTGCTCCCCGCTCTGTCTCTGGTAAATCCTCTCACTGCCCCTGAGCCTCTGGCCTGTACCCCAGTTCTGTATGCACAAAGAAACAAATCTTTAAAAAAAAAAATTTGTATGTGATAGGAAATTCATTTTCAAAATAAGTCAGATATAAGTAGAATACTGTATATATATTTGACTTCTCAGATATAAGTAGAATACTGTACATATATTTCCTGATGTTTTTTGTCCTCAAAACATTATAATACAAATTCTTGTGTTTACTTCTTAATGTTATATTTTAAAATAATTATCCGCATGAAAGCTGTTTTCACTTACCTACAAAGGCGACCTATAAAAATGGGATGTTGAAATGTTTTATTGCTTTTCAGAGAAAATTAGATTCAAACATCTGAATTAAAAGAAGGCAAATTTCACCTCAGAATTTAAGAATTTTCTAATGGCTCATTAGTTAAGCATATCATTTGACTAGGAAGTACAGCTGAGTGATTGAAGATTCCTTTTAATATTGGCTGATTTTATGTTTCTTTAACTTTGGCTTTGTCACATGGGGCTTAATTAGTTTTCTTCATAGCATGTGTTTACTTTTTCCTTTACAATTTTATGAATATATAAAGATGTGCTGTTTTCAACTTCAAAAAAATCATATTTTATTCAGGGATTTCTATCTTTATGATTCCTGAAGATGGAATCCTCAGTGATAATGAAGATAAACTCCAGTTTATTCAAGTGTCACTGTCCTCCATTTCCTGTCTTATTGTTCCAGGGGTTCAGAAACTAAGCAAACATCCCTAATATGAGGCTGAGCAGCATTTGTTTAAATGCAGCTTGCCTAACATGAGTCAGTGAGAATAACACTAGGACAACTGTCTCCTCCAGATGTTATTCCTGAGTACACTGGGCTAGATATTAATAAATGCAGATTAAGTGGGCCTTCTGTTACTTTTTTTTAGCCCACTGGTTTACAAACAAAACAAAATACAACATGAAAAATAATATGTGTTTCAAAACCATCACACCTCATAGGTGATTCACCCAAGAAACAAGGGATAAAAGGACCTTGAAAGGGGACACAACTTAAGTGGGCCAAAAAGTAAAAGCGAGGAAGCTGGCTGCCTACCTAGGAAAGCAGATATATGTAGATGTACACATGAAAGCCAGTCCTTATTATGTTATACTAAAATAATATATGAACAGCATAAACTATTACCACCTCTAACTCCTGGATATGCGTATGTAGAAGTGAAAACCAGTCCATGTCATATTATTACTAAAATAATATATAAACAAAGCATAAACTATTACCACCTCTAACTACTGCTGATACTGGTTTTCTCTAGATAACTGTATAAAGAAGTAAAGGACAAAAGTAAAGTGCCAAAGCTAGCCGGCTCATCAAAAATCATAAGCTAGAATTCTACTTCTCTTCTAATACACAATCTGAGTATTTATGTCATCAAATGCTAAAATATAAGCTCTTTATACACATGCAGGGTATGCTTTATATACATGCAGGTTTACTTACAATTTCAAGTATAAGAAAAAAAAAAAAAGAATCTACCTTTAGAAGAAATGATGCACCATCCACTTCTGCTTTGCCCAAGAGCTGACAAGTCAGGTCAAAGTACTGCATGGGCTGAACATCACACAATTTTACTAATGTTGAAGAAGGTGAGATATGAGTAGATCCCCAAACACGCAAGGCTTCTACTGTCTTGTGGTCCTCAGAGGTGAAGTTAAAGAACTTGCTGGATGTGCGAGGTATGACCGGAGCTCCCAAAGTTCCCTCAAATGTCAATGATGCAAAGCCAGAGCAGGTGATACCCTGGGTCTCATTTTTATACACTTGGATCTACGTGGGAAAAGTAAAATACAAAACAGAACAAACAAAACAGCACAATGATGTCAACTTAGGAAAGGAAGAAATTAGAAAGATTTAGGAAAATCTTGCAGGCATTGTTAACAATATCTCATTTATACTTCACTGAGCTAGCATATGAAATTATAAAATTAATGGGCAATATCAAGATCTATGGCATCGTGTAAACTGTGAAAGACTAACAAAATTTCTCATTTATAGAGTGAGGAGGTAGATCCTTAATCCTAGCACTTGGAACTCTACAACTCCTACTTCATAATATTACTGTTTTTTTTTTTTTTTGTAGCTATTTATCTTTTAGTGAAATTAAAAGAAGCAAAATACTCTCTTTCATATTTATTCACTTATTTTAATTTTTTTTTTTGTCACTTCCTGGCAATCAAGTTGCTAGTTGGTAGCATCCTTTTTGTCCTGTACAAAATACTCATCAAATATCAGTTTCAGATAATATGAATTATACCTTCAGCCTATGAAAGCGAACTATATCTCCATTTTTATAAACTATTGGAAGGGCTTCATAATTTCCACTAAAGAGTAGGCACGTTAATTTTACATTTGTTTGATCCACAATTGTTATAACGGAGCAATAATCTGGAAAACAACAACAACAAAAAAACATTTTACCCAACTTCAGTACTTCAAAGCATTTGACAAAATAAGAAAATGCTGAGTTCAAAACACCAAGTTTGAAACTTTCTTCTTCCTTTTATTTGAACCTTATAAGATTAGGATCAAAATACAGAGACATTTTCTTGGCTCTCAAAATAAGCTGCCAGATGTTTTGCAAATGTATTCTATGAAAACTAACTTAAATCTTAGTGTAAGTTGGAAAAATAACTTTTCATTAATTCCATATTTAGAAATCATAAAGCAAATAAACATATTCAAATAAAATATAAGCAAATTTAGAGTGAAAACAAACGACTAGTAGATATTTGCAGCAAATGTGATGAAGAGTCAATGTACTGCACATTTTTTCCTAAGAGAAAAGGCTATAACACACGGAATTTTAAAGATAGTGTGTAATTAAAATGAACATTATAGTAAAATATATAACACATTCAAAAGGGGAAATGAAGATGTGCTAGTTACCTATAAAAATTATACATCAAATGAGAGTTATTTTATACAACTTAAACGGGCAAAAAAAAAAATGATAGTGGGGTTGCTATGAAAACGTAACTTTAAACACTGGTATAGCAAAAACTATAATAAGTGCTGCCTGTAAATACACGTTTCAGAAAATTATATGCTGGGAAAATGTGTCCACGTCCTATCTTTCCCAATAATAATAGTACAGGAAAAAAAAACAAAAACAAAAACATAATAGTGGAGGAAGAGCGGAGAGGGGAATAAAGGAGTGGGGAAGAAAATACCATTATGTCAGGAAGATGGGAAGTAAATAGTCCGGGATAGAAGAAACAGAGGTGACTGGAATCCAGAAGATCATGACAGTAAAAATGGAAAGCACAGAATGAGGGTGACAGTCATCAGTAGATCTAAAATCAGAGTAAGTTAAAAGTTTACACAGGAGCACTCTCCCTGGCGGCCCAACAGGTTAAAGCACTGCACTATGAAGCTCTCAGAAGCCACTTGCAGCACAAGTTCAATCGCTGGAGAGGGAGCTGGCCCACATGGCACTGACTCGCCCGCACTCCTCTCAGCATGTACTTTGTCAATCTGCCTGTTCTGCTCCCCGCTGTCTCTGGTGAAGACTCTCACCCACCACACTTCTGGCCTATACCCCAGTTCTGTAAGCATAAGTAAATAAATTAAAAAAAAAAAAGTTTACACGTCAAACAGTGGTTTCAACAATGGCCATTATGACCATCACTCCTTGTGCTTCAGGCCAGCAGGCATGCTGTGTCAGCATTTAAACACCCTTTTATGGAACACACTTTTTTCCAGGAACATTTCAGTGGTTGAAGTTTCAGAGAGTGATCTGGACGTGGTAAAGTTTCCAATGTGGGTGATAGGACCCTATAATAAATTTCTCCTCATTATCACATTAAGAGAACTACAGTCTCATAGGAGCTTTCATCCCATTCACCCCAGATTGATATTTTCAATCAATATGCCATAGGCAAGCACAACTTGTCTCTATCAGATTATCCACTCAAGGAAGAGATCATGTTGGTAAAAACAAATGATTTATATACAAAGCAAAAGAGACAGATGTCTACAACCTAAAATGAACAACACTTGATGAACTACAAAGAACTCTAGTTGAAACTCAGAAATACTACATACGTCCCTATTGCAACTGTCTTTATAGGGACCCCACTAACTGGCAATTCAGTGCCATTTTGCAAACTAGAAAAATCTATACTTTTCTCAAATAGAAATACTGTATAATCTGAACAGCTTCACAGAGGAACTGTATGAACCCAAGAGAGTAGCAGCTTGGCTTACACATAGCTGCATCTATGTGCTGGCCTTTTCACACAAACCCTCAGAAACAGAAACACTAGCATCTGCAATGCACATTTTCTTTATCTAGGCGCTTCCTCCTCCTCATTCCTCCAGTGTATGTGACAAATTCAGAGTTAGAGTGGGAATGGACTGGGCAGACAGACAGAGGGGGAGAGAGAGTGAAAAAAACAGCCCCAGTATTGCTAGTCTCTTCCCACTCACGAGTACTTACAATGCCCCAGCTATGACAACTAAAATTTCTCCAGATTACCAAAATCAGGCAAAATCATCATGGAGTGAGACCCACCACTTCGGAGAAAAAGCTGTGTTCTGACCTTTTATACTGGTAAAAAAAACACTCTTTTAGGAAAAGAAAATGCCAAGAACAAGATGTGATATCCCTTTAGAAACCTGATACCATTTATTCTAGATGAAAGGAAAAATACAACAACTTGGATTCATATAATTCCTATATGAATGTACTTTTAAATTGTGATGAACTTTAATTCCTTGAGGGTAGTAGCAATAACTCCTGGAAATGTTTCACAGCCTGCATACAGTTACCTAATTCAGCAAGGACACTCAGAACAGCATAAACATGTTCCAGTTAAAAAAAAAAAAAACACACACACTATTTCTTAAAATCTGAAACAAAGCTAAAATTATACTTCTTTAAATGTTTTATCTAAGAAAACATCACTGATGTTATCTGTGCAAAACAAAAATCTTCATCTTCAACTATCTAGTCAGCTACCCAAAGCAAAAATAAATGTGAGAATTTTAGAGAATATAACTGCTATGAAATACCAAAACCCTAAGAAGACAGCAATAACCTTGCTTTCCTACATGAAAGAGAACATTTGATGTGCCCCTAGTGAGTCATTATCAAAATCAATTTTGATGATGCAACAATCTTTTTTTTAAGACAAATTATTTTATTTTTCTTACTTTTTTTTTTTTTAAAAGATTTATTTATTTGTTCATACAGAACAGGGGTACAGGCCAGAAGTGTAGGAGCGGTGAGAGGCTCCACCAGAGACAGAGTGGGAGCAGAACAGGCAGATCAACAAAGTACACTGCTGAGGGGAGCAGCAGGTGGGTAGGAAAGGTATGCTGCGTCATGTGGATTACCTCCCTCGAGGGGGATTGAACTCGCACTTAAAAGGCTGCGGCCAGCTTGCAGTGCTATGTCCTAACCCGTTGCACCACCAGGGAGGGCCTGCAACAGTCGTTTTTATATAGACTATAGATCCTATAGACTAAATTCTAAGTTTTCATAATGAATAATATCACAGCTGACAAGATATATCTATAGTCCTTTTAAAGGGCTGATTGATTTAAGATCCAACTCCTCTAAGACCGAATATAAAGTTTGGGGAATAAAGAATTTGCTACCAGATGTAAAATAGCAGCATATGACAGGCTGCATGTAGTTATTATTACTGATAATGTGAGGGAAGTTTTCAAGAAAAAATTTAGTCAAGATGTTAAATAGCACCAAATTGCCTCTGCCACAGTGAATTTAACATTTATGAAAATAATTTGAATGAAACAAATCTAGCTAATAATATATAATAGAATGTACTTTATTTCTATCTACCTAAAAATCAGTTGCATAGAAGTAATTTTCTTCCCAAAACATAGTTATGTACATCTGGATATGATATTTGGATCATGGCCTTGTTTTTGTGAGATAATGTTGTTTTATATAATATAAAAAAGACACAGCTGTGAATTGTTCCTGTACATTTATTCTGGTACTTCTCTATAGCTGCACTAATGAAGTTGATCCTCTCCTGAGCACAAAAATCAGAGCTATTTGTTTGACTCTTCTGCACCATGTTAAAGGATGGGTTCTACCAACAGAAATAAAAATGTAAGTGTAACTAAAGTTATAAGATAGTTTTTAAATTTTACAGTGTTGCTAGCAGTAAAGCCATCCCACTGTATCTGATGATAAATTTAGTTCAATGAGTATGTTCAGATAAAATTGACGACATTCATTTTAATTTAGTATCTCAGAAGAAACAGAAACATATCTTAGTAATAGCAGCTAGCTTATTACTACTCATGAATTTTTTTAACAAAAAAATGAACCCAACTAAATATATCAATAGAGATGTAAGAAACATGTGAATATATAAAAAGTAGTATGGATCTCCAATGATTCCATTGTATGTATGATTTAGAAGAAAACATGATTAAACTTAATAGTTACAATGAATATAGCATTATCAATGTTAAAACATGTATTTTAGTGTACAGTACTATTGTTTTGCTATTTTTGAAAAAAATATATTTGCTCATCAATTTACTGACAAGAATCAGCAACAAAGTACAATTTATTTTTTTGAAATTACATCTTCTACTGAGATAGACATACATTAGCATAATGTAGCTTATTCCTAAAATTAGCAGGTCAATTAAAAAGTCAGCAGGGTAACACTTGGCAATTGGGAAACAATTATAATGATCTCATCTTTACAGATATTTGTAAAACAGATTAATTGTAAAATTCAGCGGGGGGGGGGAGGGAGGAGAATCTGGTGAAAAGAACTGAGGTAAAACACGTTGAACACGTTGAACTACAGGACGGAGCAGAATGGTGGGATGTAGACTTAGGGAACAGGAAATTCAAATTAAAATATCTTACAAAATACATATTTAAACAGAAAATTTTGCTTTACCTGCTAACAGTTAATGTTTCCCTTTCCACAAAAACAATAAAAACTAAAGGGATTTTCAATGAAAGATAATTTTGTGGCCTTCAGACTTGATTACCACCTATTTCAATCTTGTCATTTATAGAGTTAAGTCTTTACAAGGTCAGTTTTACATATAGACTACTAATGCTTCTCATTTCACATTAATAAAATATTCTCACACGTAAGATTCTCCTTGCACCCATCCCACTTCAAGCTTACTCAATAAAATTTACATGTGCTAATTTAATACAGAGTTTTTAAAAATATGAACTTAATGACAACATCTTTGT